ATAGCAATGAATATAGTGATTATTATGTTAATTCAGAAATATGTCTAGCATGTAATGAAGAGCATAAAGGAGATGGTATAGAAGGTTAGTGGGGTGATAGAAATTATTGTGGCAAAAAAATGTATCATCTCTATTGTTGTAAGAAATCTCTTAGTAGAATTTCCATAGTAAATGTGAAAGCGTAAGTTAAAAAGAAATTGACTAGATATTAATAATATATGATCGCATAAAAATGATGAGTCTTTCTTTATTTAATAAAAATTGTTGCTAGAACAACAATACCAATAAAAAATATATCACTGTTACAGGTGTGAATAAAATAAAAAAAATTTTATTATCTAATAGGAAGGTAACAATTCTATGATAATATGAACAATATCTTGATTAGAATTTGTAGAGAAATAGTTATAGATATTACTATCCAAATTCATAATTGCGAAGTAGTCACCAAAAGTAGGAAAATATCTACGAAGCTGAAAATTAGTATTAGTTAATCCATCTGGTAGGCTAGCTTGAATTTGAGGTATTAAACTTTTAACTTTATCTCCATTAAAAACATTAAATGTATGAGTATAATGTTAATAACCACTAATCAAAAAGTAATAGTTAAGATCAATATTAATGCAGTCATTATCACCTATTTTGCATTCCTAAATGTAAAAATACATAATGATAATGAGTAAGTAGTAAGGCCCATAATTTCTCCACACCTAAATAATAAAACCTGCAAAAGTGTAATAAACATTACCTTGAAAATAAAATTTGAATATATAAGCCTTTTTCAATAAAAAAAAAAAGTAGAAGAAAATATAATGCTAACTTATCTTAAAGATTAGAACTGCTTATTTATATACCTTTCATTATCTAAACCTAACCACAAAATAGCTGAGAAGAAAAAATCTGCTAGAAAAAAAAAGTTACATGATTAGTAATTGCATTACTCTAACACATTACCAGATCTAGCTACTTAAAGCAACTCTGCTCGGTCATAAGTTCCAAATACTGAATGTATTTTATTATTTTTTTAGGTGAAATTAAACCTCTTTAGATTTGACGATCGCTTAAGGAAGATTTAGATCTGACGATCTTGAGATGGCAGAGATCTCAAGTTTATACAACATATAAATTTTGATAAAACTACTGATTAAGAACATTATATATATTACTCTTATAACCTTTTTAAGTCACATTCTTATCACGGAATCCTATATAAGGTAAGGAAAAAGTTCTAGAGCATGTAGTTATTAACTGTTAATCAAAAATTGACCATGAGAAATAATTCTGCAGGAGAGTAATACTACATAAAATTTAGACCCTTTGGGTCATTGCGAAGCAATAATACAGGCCATTAATTATTAAAGCTAGTCAAGTTTTTATAAACTAATAAATCTGCTATTTTAGCAGACCTGTGAGACTGTTAAGTTGCATTACATAATAAATACTTTATGCTAAAATAGTGCACATATGTGTTTACAAATATGTATTAAGTTCTAGATAACTACAGTTAAGCCACTGTCTCCTGAAAGGAGGATGCTTCATATCTAAAATGCTGTTGGCAAGTTAAATCTTTAATAAACTCAGTTCTGATCCCAATGATTAGGGGAACCATCATGGAATAATCACAGAAAATTTTATTAAATTCTTATATACGATCAGGGGAATGATCACGGAATATTGCAGTTTAATCAGCAGAAGGTAATAATTCATAGATTTACTTGTGATTTGATATCCATAATTAGTACCTGTGACTCATAAACAGTTAATACGTAGAACATGGTTACATTAAAATAGCATACATATGTATTTACAAGTATTTTTGAAAACAAACATGTACCTTTGAATATTTACAGCTCAGTATATATTATGACGCTTATTCTAAATTTGTAGTGCTAAATATATCAAAATTTCAGTCTCAAAAATCGTGATACGTATTGATTAAACATCTAATATAGGCTTTATTCATTATGTAAAATTAGAAAAAAATATTTCTGATATACGACTGAAGTATATAAATATTTATGGATTATTAAATAATCTGCTCCTTAAAAACAAATAAGAGGCTAACAAACTACGTAGCAATATGGATAACCTAGATTAATTATTATATATCCCTTAATTTGTAACACAGGCAAATTTGCTTGTGTCCACTTTTAATTTTTGTAATTTTTAAAATAAAACTTTAAATATTAATTTTAAATATATACTTTCTAAGTAAA